TATTTTTTAATAAAAATTATTATATTACTTGACTATTTAATGTATAACTGACAGGTATATATACAATAATTTTGTTTGTTTGCAAAAACATTATTTAATGAGATCGATAAGGGTAATCCATGTAAGCGCATTTACGTTTTACAGTTTTTATCATTACTTATCATTGGTATTTTTATCTTTTTACAACATATATATAATACAATGGCAAACAAGTAAAGGGCAAATATGCATAATCTAAGTGTGGGGTCATTGTACCCTAACATACGAGTACCATTGATCGTGGAAGGAATTACATAATTCACCTGTAATTCATTACTTAACTCATTCCCAATCAATTCTCAAATGAAAGGCATTACAAATAACGTTTGCAATTGTGTATTGTATTGATGTTTATAGGTAGTCACCAGAATTTAACTTTATTTTTCTAAAATAAAAGTAGCCTAAGTTACTCATTATTACATCAGCTACCAGGTCCAATCAGACATAGATAAAAATTGTAAAAAAATATATTTATTGTTTTTGTAATGTTACATACAATATAAAAACAAATTATAACATTTTTTACATATTTATATTCATATGTATGTAGTAAAAAAAGGTTATTTCTATATTGCAAACAGACCTTCCAATTTTATTTATATGTATAGATAATAAGTCTTTCGAACTCGAGTTTAATACTAATGTTGTTATTTAGAAAAAAAGAGACTGTTTTGTCCTTTTTCGAGTTATTTTATTTTATGGAACTTTCAGTGGGTTCGTAGGAGATTTAGTTTTTATGAGTAAGAAGATGATGCTGAGAGCTTGTCTACCATAATTATTATTAAAAATTATTTATGAAAAGAAATATGTAAACAATTTTTCTAAGTAAGAGGATGTTGTTGGCAGCTTGTCCACTATTATTTTAATAAAAAGAAGTATTTAAATAAAACAAATATTTATACAAAGAATGGTGGACAAGCTGCCAGCAACATCCCACCATGACTAAGTCACAGAGGGTTTATACAGGTAATTTTTTGGAAGTCATCGGCATGATGGAGGGTGAGAGGACGATGAGAGATGAGATTGAGGTAAGTCGAGCCCATCAAGCACCTAGAGATAACCTAGGACATCTAACTTTCATACTCAGTTAGATGTCCTAATAAATTCGCCCTATGGATTAACGAACCACTACGCGGTCTCCTTTGGTTTGCAAAATGAACTAACTGACCTAATTGAATATGGATATGACGGAGTGGTGAATGTCCACTATCGTCCCGTCAGCGTACACCGTTAGCGCTTGCGCGTCGTTCCATATTCATCCACAAAGAATCGATTACATGTCTAATTCAATAATCTACTATACTTACCTACGTCTTAAATATTGCTAGCAATGTACGATGTCAGTTTGCCCTCCACGCAGTTTCCCTTGGAAACCATCGTGGTAAAATGCTATTTGCTCGAATGGGCTAACCGGCCTGACTTCATGCTCTTTTTATTATTATCTCTTCGTGCCCCGCCACTATATACCGTTAGTGTAGGCGGATGCATTATTCCTGTATCACCCATAAAAAATATCATAATTTGAAAGAAATATACCTAGATGCAACTGTAGTTAGATGGTGTGAATTAGCTACATTAACTATTTACAATGTTGGCGTTTATAGACGGAAGGTCCTTGCTGACTTGTGCTTGTGACCTCCAGTCAGGCGACGGCGCGTTGCATCCACGTTATTACAAACGTGACTGCGGCGGTCATTGGTCACAATTTGGTTGGTATATAGTTTAGTTAATAATTTTTTTCTGTGGTAATACCCAATTTTGGATCATATTAAATGTGTCGAGGAGCTAGCCTTACGCCTTAACTTTAGAAATTTTGTGTACATTCGTATAATTTAGGACAGTCGTAATATTAATAAACAATGAAAGAATTTCACAAATTGGCGAAAATAGATGTTTATTGGCTCCGTAGTTAGTATAGTTTAGTATCTAATGAACAGAATGGCATAAAATATTTTTATAATGTTACATACAAAAAGAGAGAAAATAATATTTTTTTATGTAATTGCAATAGCAATCAACGCTAGCTTGTTATTTGTTTTGCCCATCTTATAGGAAGCGAAAATCATCGCTTATACATGAATAGCATTACGGACAGCGCGTCATGTGACTGACACTCGTGACACCACTCATGCGTTGCCATTCCAGAGGAGAGAGAGAGAGAGAGAGAGATGTTATGATTTTTATCCTGAAATTTCGTTGCCTAGTTGCACCCTACTACGGTAACACAGTTTACAAAACAAGCCGTATGGCGGCTGAAACAGTGACACCGAGATACTCACGCAGACGAGACAATTTTTACCCTACCTGGTACATTTATTTAAGCTTTAAAATAAAAATAATATATGACATATTCTGATATAATATTTCATCTTGAATAAATTAGAAAGCAGTGACTACTTCGTATTTAAGGTAATAATTATTAAATATATTTTTCTATAAAGTATATACATATACCTACCTACTACTTATTTCTATACAATCATTGTATATACCTATCCCCGTTCAATTGTATAACTCAACATAAACAAACAGATCACAACTTTTTATGAGTAACTTTGTAACAATAATATCTATAATTAAATTTAGACATGTTTACCGAAATGACGTTATTTATTACTTAATTTGTATGAGGTTAAATTAGACACTCATCTTACTTTATCCTCATACAAATTAGGTACACCAAAATAAGTTATATTGAATTGTACCTAATTTAACATTAGCAAGCCAAATCTTGAGGTCTTTGGTATTGATATATCCAGTGATATTCTGTTTAATGATTATTTGGAGGACAAGGCTGAAACGGCCTTTAAAAAGTTTGCTGTGCCCGCGGTTTCACACGCATGAAATTTATAGCTTACCTATATGTAAATCTGATGTATAAGCTATATTAGTGTAAAGTTTCATCAAAATCCGTTCAGTAGTTTTTGCGTGAAAGAGTAACAAACCATATAAGTAACCATACTCATAAACTTTCGCGTTTATAAACTTAATAAGAGTATAATTATCAATAATACCTCCGCAATCCTCTGCGAATACGTCGGCCATACTGTTGTATTTTGCCCGCAGTATTGGAACAGATTCGAATTTTAATCACAGTATTAAATATATAGGTATAGCTACTTATATCATAACTCGTACATATTATTATGACGTATGACCTCAAAGGTTCGATTTATGTATGTACCGATTTAGCACACTGCTTCACCAATCGATCTTCTGGTTTTAGCAAGTTTTTATGCTGAAAAACAACATTATGCTGAGCCTATGTAGATGACACATAGACGTAGAGTCATAATATATATTTAAGCATACATATCTACAATATAGAGCAAAATATATATTTTGCTTTCTGTCTGTTCACTTTTCTTCCACATTATTTATTATATTTTTTTATACAGTTAAGTATTTTATTCTATATTTTATTACAGCGGCATTTTATAATGGTACGTATTATTATTGTTTTTGATTGTTAGACATTTAAATTCTTTTGTTATTGTGTGTCCCACGTTATACGCGTTCAATGAATAAATTACATTTTCATTTATTTAACTGACAACATGAACAATTTGTTTGTAACTTTATGTCTACATGTACAATTGTACACGTGTATCTCATACTCAACTCAATTCGGCGGTATCACGTGTCACCGCCACGTGAGGTGCGCACAAGCACCATCGCAGCCCTGGATCTGACCTTCAACTCCTCGTTCAAATGAGCGGACAAACCCGTTTTTACCGCTTTGTGATTGACTAAGCTAGATATAATGTAATACATTTCCGATTATTACGAAAGCAAGAGTAATAAGTAATATTGACGGCTTCGGTGGTTCAGCGGTTTAGCACACCGTCTTACTTATGATGGTCGCGGGTTCGATTCCTCGCACGGCACAATCACTTGTATTCTTAAATACGATTGTTGGTCTGAGTGCTTTATATGTACGTATAAGTATAGTTAATGCGTCTTAACACGAATATATTGTGGTAAATAATTATTCGTGTTACGACCTGATTAACTATATTAATATTAACGTAAACCTATTAAAATTTGCCTACACACAGTAGCGTGCCCGATTTAACGAAGAAATACTCGAATGCTAGTGCAGGCGCACAATTCCAATTACTTAATTCTTGCTTATTTTTAATTACCAGTACCTATTGCCTGATACGCTCCAAACATTGTCAGAACTATAAGAAGATTATAAAGCTACCTGCATTGGTACTTACATAGGTGAGGTGAGAGAATTATTAATAATAGGGACTAGTCACCTCATGTCAGGTCGACATCCACGTGATGTCCCCTGAATATCACTGTGGTTAATTCCAAGTGAATATCCTACGATAGACTAATTGACTTGGTTTTATCATCATATCATTATGCTTTATTGGTGCCCCGACAGCGTATGTCGTTAGCGCAGCCGTGTGCCCCATTTCATTTCAATCATCAAAATAAGTAAGTATTATTTATGTTATCTGTGGTTATTATCCAGGCAACTTCTGTCTCAAGTCGTTTGCTTGCAAACTTCTGTGATATGAATTTCGAATGGCAACTGGCAAATATAAATGTAATTTATATCAATTTGTAAAGCAGTACAAATAATATTTTTATTACATAAATTCTTTTTATAAGATGAAAATATTATTTAACTTATTTTATAGAGATGCATAGTGACATCTGTCTGTAGGTAGAATATTTTATGAACTTGGTTCTCCATTCGACGATAGATGGCAAATTTGTAGACATGTTGCTAACTAAACATGTTTATTTTGGTAAATCATAGGTTAAAATCATTATTTCGATACATTACAAGAAATAACAATAATCTCATAATTTACAAAATTAAATAAATTTACATATTTATATACAAACTGCGTTGTGGAAGTGTACGTTAAAATTTGAAATAAATCGGTAATATCTGACGCTCTTTGTTGTCAATCATATAACTTTGTCATCAGTCCGTCTGTCAGAATCAAAACTTCAGATTGTCAAAATTTTAGTCAACAAGTTTTACCGCTTACGAATTTCTTTAATTTTTGGTACATGTTCTATTTATAATAAACAGTTTAATGTTTGTTTTTATAAAATTACTAATTAGAAACATATTAGGAATATCCACAGCACGTTTCTTAATACAGTTTAAGTTAAAAATAACTTAATAACATTCACTGGAAGAAGGTGTGGCTGTATCTACAATTTAAAATATTAATTTCAGATATAAACTATTGAAGGGAATAAGTAGCGAAAATGCCGGTGTTGGAATCTTGTTGGTCTCCTTGCATCTGGTTTCCGAATGTGAAAACAGGCAGCCGAGCTGTTGCAGTGTATACAGCAGCTATGAGTGTGGTACTCATTACATTTATAGCTTATCAGATGGACGGTGGAGATTCCACGCAGTTATGGAATCCTCTATTTGAAGCTGATGTCAGAGAATGTAAGTTACAAGTACATGATTATATTTCAAGTGTAATTTATTTAAAAATATTGGTTAGTATGATATGGTATTGGTCTAATCCAATGATTCCCAAAGTGGTCTATATCGACCTTTAGGATTCTATGACAAACTGCAAGGTTTTTTTTATATATTTTGTTTACTACAGTCAACATACAGTCAGAGCTTAATTATATTTATACTAATATTATAAATAGAGAGTGTATTTTTGTTGCACAGAAAGTTAAAATACACTGTATCACTGTATCAATTTGATTAGTAAGTAGTGGTGTGTGCGAGACCTGAATATTATAAGATATTAATGTTATATTATCTGTTTAATTCCAGCACTACAAGTTTTTGGAATAATTTTCATAATCATATTTGTGGGTCTCATTGTGTCTTCAATTCTGATGGTAAGTTATCTATTTTTATATGTAATTGAATTGACTAGAAAGTTATAAGCACACCCGATTGTAAACATTCTCTTTTATTAAAGTAACTGTTTACACTGGTGGGGAACCAATGGAAGATGATTAGATGAGCATGAGGTCAGGTCAGTTAGTTCATTTTGACAAATTCACCAGGAACATATTACAATAGATTCCAGGGGAAATAGCGTAAAGGTTGACCTAACATGGTACATAGCTAGCAATGAGTTCATAATCTAAATTACTAACAATCCCATTCTCCTTATTGTAAATATTGTCTATATTTATTTATTTGGCAACTGAAAAAGGTGAGGCTCAAACTTACCTACTGCTCATGCATGAAAACTTTTTAGGCAGTCTATTAATAGAAAAGACCAAATACCAAGTAAAGTAGAAATAACAAAGACTTGATCGCCTTTTTATCATTGCAGTATATATTAAGCATAGCTGTAAGTCTGTATCTATAGTGGTAAAAATACATTTAACAGTTACAGCCAACCATTTTCTCCTAATTAGTCAAGAAACTTTTAATTGTATTATTTTACATTAATTTATGTGAATTTATTCTGATAATATTGTATTAAATTGTTTATTAAAGTTTATTAGTTAGTTAGTTAGTTTATTAAGTAAATTATTTTGTAAATTTTGTAATAATGTGCAAATGAGTGTGCACACCTGTCTATTGATGCTAGTTTTTCCTAGTAACATCATGATAATATCTGTTATTAAATTTTATACACTGTGTACACACAAGCTGCAATTGGTAATAACAATAATAGCCTAGCACCATCTAGTCCCAAGCTCAAGCTAAGCAGACCTTATGTTATAGATATTGGACTATTAATAGAAATACACTGATCAATACAAATAATCATGTTCATGAATACAAATATTTGGATTATGTGAGAGTCAAACCTGCAACCATTGCAAGTTAAGCTGTATAATTGTTTACTGTGCTATTTAGTGATGTGGACATTGAGGATCGACTTTAACAGATAAGGAATATTTAAAAATACTATTATATAAAATAATTTATATGTTTCAGGTGATTGGAATAAACATATGGATGCGAGGTATGTTGCTACCTTGGCTGATCATAATGGGATTCATTATATCTTTCCAACTCATATTTGGATTGTGGCTTCTTGGAGGGTACTATATCTATGTAAGTAACAGTTTATTAATTTTAATTAATGATTCATCTCTGGAACCCCTTGCCACTTCCTATTTGTAGAGTACATCATATTCTATATTTTATAATTAACTAATATCTCATTATCTATCATCTGTCTGTAATTGAATTAAAATTTCCTCTTGTTCTCGTCAATATATGTATAGTATAATTATATATATGTTATTAGTGTGTAAAATATGTTTATTTATAAGTGTTTATTAAATCATATCTAGTAGTATCCTACCTTCTCTGTCCATGTAAATAGTCTCTTCTATACTAGTTTGTCTGTAAGAGATTATAATACACTTTTTAAGGTACTTTTTTTTATTCTGTTTCTTAAAGAGTTATAATGATTATAAAGTATATTAGTAGTATATCATTAGCATGTGCGCAGAAAAACTATTCCAAATGTATTTAATATATACATTTGGAATAGTTTTTCTGCGCAAAACACACATGATAGAATGAATTACTATTAGCAGCACAAGAACACATTAAAAATACCCAATTGGACATTAAAAACTGTCACTTAAAAGAGTTTTTGGAGAGTTTCTTAGCATCCAGAAACTGTTTCTTTTTTTTAATGTTCAATTGGATATTCTTAATGTGTTTTTGTGCTGCTAAGAGTAATTTATTATGACAGGTGTTTTTAATGTATACATATGGATTAGTTTTTCTGCGGACATGCTAATGATATACTACTAACATTAATAGTATTAAAGTCACTATTGTGGCTAATGGCCCTATCGATAGCAAAATCTACAATTCTTGAAGAAACATTGTGCCATTAATTTCATTACATGTGAAATTCTAATTGTGACATAGATTTTTTATATAGTAGTTAGTAATAGTTGATGTAAAAAATACAATAGTAACAACGTAACTGCTGTTAGAAAAACCGAGTTTGATCGTACAAATTTACAAAGTTTGTATGGATACACTATTGTACTAGCTGTAGCTGTATATGTGTAGCTGTAAGCTGTGGGCAACTCCGTATAGGTACCTGAAAATGGTCACGACTGATCAGTTGGTAATCTACTGATTACGGTGATATGTAAAATACGTTAAATTAAGGTGTGCTCGTTGTCAACCGTTACGACGTGTCATGCGACGTTTATCAATTAAAATAATAATATTTTGAATGTTACAGTTGGATGCCACATTTGCTGCCCTTCTAGATTTCTTGTGGATGGCATACAATGTAAGTATTGTGTATGTTTTTTATTTATATACTCTATTGCACTAGATACATAATGTATTTGGTTTTTAAACAAATTTGCTATAATTATTGATATTATAATTACTTTGGATATACTAGCGTAGTTAAGCAGGTATAAGAATCACTAAAATGTTGGTAAATTACTGTCACTTTTAACAAAGCAATAAATATTAGAACAAATAAAGCAATAGATATAAACTAATTAGAAATTAACAACTTCGTAAGTAGCATGGTTAATTGAAAACAATATGAATGCCAATTTTAAGAAAACAAAATATGTATATGCCTTTTACTACTAGTAACTTCATCTAACTTAATATTACGAATTGGAAGCTATAGTATAATTAAATTTTCTTTTCCAGATCTACTGCTGGTTGTGTGTATTTTCTCAATACCAAATAATTCTGGAAATGCAGTCACCAAATATTGAAATACTAGTAGAATATTAGTAGTAAGTTAATTTTAATATTAAGTTACACAAAATGAAGTTTTTATACAATAAAGAACGTTAATATCATTTTTACACTACTTGGCTCCAAAAATGACATCTCAGAAGATCACTATTTTTATACTATAGCTATAGTGGCAATAAAGCATACGGCTTATTTAATGGTAAACGGTTACGGACACCTGAAACACCAGGGGTGTCATGTACCTACGCGTTGCCGACCCTTGAGAAACCTTAATATACAACAAGGGTCAATATATACCGGGATTTAAATTTCAATTACATATAAGCTTTAATAATATAATATATGTATACCTAACTAGGGCCGCGCCCTGTTCTGAGTGAAATTATTATAATACTGTAATAAAAAAAATGCTTCTCGCTGACAATGTAGCGTAATGTAGGCGAAAGAATGACTAAAGATAGACTTTAGTATATTTTTAAGTTTATCTATTACAAATTATTAAAGCATTTGAAATTTGACGTCACGAAATTTAGTACCCTTATCTTCCCCATTGTCACAAATATCATCTTGGGCGACTCCTTTAACCTGTGGCGTGTTGCAAACACGCCACAGCAATGTATTTTTTTTTATTGTAAGGTAAACATAATATAACAACATATATTTTGCCATTGCTTTGGCATTTAATAGGTTTGTAATTTTTTTATAATTCTATTAGTATTTTAGTAAGAAATACTAATAGAAATATTGAAAAATGATTGGTACAAAAATAACAATTATCTGTATTATTTAATTTTATTAAAAATAATTTCTTCTAACTTTTTAGGAAGAAAATTATTGATTTATGCAAACAATTTATTAATTGCCAACTTCGGAATTAGTATTAGTTCATGATTGATTCTTTAAAGTGACGGGGATATTATTATTCTTTATATACCTATATTCTTATTTATTTTTATGTTCACATCACAATGGCACTTGGTCTTAACTGACAATGTTATCAGTAATGTAAGTTTAAGTGTATTAGCATTATAAAATTATTCTACAATATAAATTAATATTATTAAATTATTATTTTAATTATTTTAATAATATCGTAGACAATCACTTAATTCTTTACTGTTATAATTCAATTAATATTAAAAAACACCAGTAGTGTATTTAGAAACGATTGGTAACAAATTTGTGTAATATTACTTTGTTCCAGTTGCACATGTATTCTTTATGTTTATTTAATTATTACAATAACTGTAAGAGTATGAACTGTAATTACAAATAATCTAGACTGAGATATTTAAAGTGCCTAAAACTCTTGTAGGAATATACTTGTCTTATTTTATAGCATTTATTCTTATTAGCACTAATTCTATAATTAAGAGAAATTTGTGTTGTATTTGTAAAATATTTTTTCTTTTATGTTACGTTGATGTGACACAACAGTCCTGTATGATACATGTTAACTGAATGTCTATTAAATATCCTAATGTATTTTTAAAAAAGTTGAATATCTAAATATGTATGACATGTGGTTCGGGATTTGAAGTTTGGATAAAATAGAGAAAATAGTAATTCCAAAAAGGTAAGCGAATTATATGTCTTGATTTTTTGATCATGCATGCATTGATTGTTCAAGCAGTCAGTGAACTGTATGAACAAAATGTAGTAGTAGTAGTTACTAGGTTTCTGACTATTTCTATCTCATTGTAAAGATTCAAATATTTGTGTAATAGGATGTGTTTGACTTCAAAGAGCTTTAGATGTCACCTTACAGCTCCACATCATAGTTATAATTTAATGACTGTCCATGAAGATATAATAAAGTTAACATAAGACTGACAACGTTTTATATTAACCTACAATACATACTAAATTGAATAATATGGACTATCGAGTATAAGTTGGTAAGTTACTGAGCGCCGCGCCGAGTAGTTTTCAGTATTTTTGTACACTAATACAATATTTATATTCCATTATTTAATTTCTTAATTAACACTCTATCTGTCATCACAGGTCATTTATGGTGTAGGCAGAGACTATCAAATACTTTAACTTCATATGACTATATATCACTTGTGTCATCAACTTATATCATACATGAACATCAATTTTTTTTGGTAACTATATATTCTGTATGTTTATGATAATTCTATCTGTTTTTCTAATTATCTGTCTTATTTCGTATTGTATATTTATTGTGTCATATTGTTTCACCATATAAAATTTATACAGGTTTTTTACTAGTTAGCCTTATTAGTTCTGATAAACTGATCTAATTCTCTAAATAGTAATGCCAATAATTGATGTTTGAGTTACTTTATGTCTGAGTGAATTGAGACTTTTTTACTAAACGTTTATATATAATTGTTGGCGAATGACCACTGCAAACGCATGATATGTTTAATAATTTCTATGTTTAGAAATGTTCTTTTTATACGTCATCTATTTTTATACATTACACTTTTTGTTTTACAATAATTCGCAGGCGCATTGTAATATATTATATTATGCAAATCTACTTATTTTCATCATTCAGAAATAGTCCACCGATTGTTACAATAATGCTATTTTAGTATGGCTATATTTTTGGAGTATAATTTTATAAATACACCGCACGTTTACGAACGTTTTAGAACTCAGAATTAGTGATTTAGATTTGTTTAAATCGTTTTCTTTAAAAAAAATTAAGGTAACGTTTACAGTCTTATGGGGAACGCATTCTTGAGCCGTAGCATAAAGATAACTCTGTTTACTATGTGTTCAATATTGTTGTTTATGTTCCATAGGTAGTATGTAATATTTAATGTGGTAACACTTATATTATTTATGCAATTTAAAATTCCGTCCATTTTGTAACTGAATTAAAACGGTATGCTCTAGTTATTTAAATTAGGATATAAGAAGTTGAATGTCGATATTGAATCTCCATTATATTATGTATTTCATGTATAATTTTTCTGATTTTTTACATAACATTCTGTATATTGATCTTTTTTTAATATACTTAGTTTTATACATATTTACTGTTTTTTACTTGTTTGCGATACCTAGTCTAGTTACAAAATTCATGAGTTGAAATATTTCCGACAAGTAATTAGTAGGTCAATTTATATTTTTTTACTCTGTAATGATGAACACCGGTAACAAATAAAATTAATTCGAGAGATGGTCTTAGATAGCTTCACCTACTAGTTTTGCATGTAATAGGAGTGGAAAATTAGCTACTGGTTTATGACAACTATACTATACACGAACAGCACTACGGACATCGCCTCATGTGATGTACTCGGAGTCATCACGCGATGCATTCCTAGAAGACGTAAATTTAAGCTTTTTTATCTTGTCTTTTCATTACATTTTAAATTCTAATTCGTTCATTTAGAATATAAGAGCTACGGTCCAGTCTGTAAAATTAAAATATTGGTATAATAATATCTCAAGACAATTAACATAGCGCAATCTAAACAGAGCTTATGTTATGGGTACTAGACAGAGCTGGCTATTATATCAGTATATGAATACTTCTACTTCTACTTATATATTTTTTGTGTTGTAAATACATACCTACATAATATAACATAGATAAGATCCAGATAGTCACGCTACCTGAAGGGATAGGGTTTATAAAAAAGGAAGATACACAGTAAGCTATGGAGAGTAATTCGGTTAATTGGCAAAAACGAGTATTACTACCACCACTAAAATATAGATTTTTTAGTTATAGGAGAGGCACTCCATGATATAGAATATAAAAAATAAGTATGTAATATCTTATATGTACAGTTATTTAGGCGTCTAGTCCTTGCTATTTATAAGTAACGAGCCACTGATATATTTTTGGAAGAATTTGTGAACATTGTCACATAAATCAACGAACTCAATCGTCAAACAAGTCACAATTCGGATTATACGGCATCCATATTGAATAAGCATTTATAATGAAACAAATATATATATTATTGAAAATTCTTATTTATTCAGAGAAATAAAATTTTCCTTCGTTTTTTGTTCAATACTATAAACTAAAATAAACAAAAAATAGGTATATGGAGAGTTTTAAAGAAATACTGAAAAACAACAGATAATTGAATTACAAGCTTATTTCCAATTTAATAATAATTACATTTTATTACAATTTTAATGATAATTATCTTATTATACGATACGATAACGAAGCCTATAAATTCGAAATGAACAACATTCCACTCGTATTGCACAGATAATGTAGCATAAATATTACCAATTAAGTATGTGTATGTAATATCTAATCGTTTTAATACAAAAATTACTATTCATTTACACAAAACAAAACAAAAATATTGCATTTGGCTTCATATAATATACAACGCTCGTCCAATTGAGTATTTAAATAGGTTGTCATGTAATAAAGGAAATAAAAATAATTTGTAAATTTCAATGTAATCTCGTTTCATAAAATATAACAGCCTAAGTTAAAATTCCGTGTATATGTTTTATACAAGTACATATATGTTTTAAATTACATGTAACAGGTTATGGTACCTATTTTATACTGGGTTTATGGGAATTAATTATTATATACCTACATACATTGAAAATTGGAGATGACGTCTAAATGTGTAAGGCAGATTACTAAAATGTCCACAGCATATAATTGGAAAACTTCGACTTTGATAAAACAATTAAATAAACCTAGGAATCTAACAAATTGTATAGTTATGTACAGTGAAATCTTATTTCGAATAATAAAATAATATACAATACTTATTAGCTACAATTTACAGAAATACGTTGTATATCTATCACCTAAACACAGTCGTGGTACTATTTATGTTACAATAATTTACAATAGCTTAATTTAAAGTGATATGCAATAAGCTATAGATCTAGCTCACGGGCCCACTCACAAATACCTTCAGTTTACTCAAAATAATTTACTTTGTCATATTTTATTGACACTATAATCTAAATTATAATAACAATATACCTATTCATAAATAATAACTTTGCTTTTGACCAAATAACGGTTAAATTAAGAAAAATTCTACATTAGTAAAAATTGTTTACAGCGCATACCTACCATATTTGAATGTCTTTTTAATTATAAAAATCTTGTTACATTGAGTAACGTTCATTGAGCAGAAAATTAAAAGTACTATTTACTTTTAAATATGACAACGTAAATTAAAATACATGTAAGATTTTTTTAAGAAAATTAAATAATGCATAAATTTGTTCTCTATGTCATCCTCATAAGAACAATTTCAAGAATATGGAATGTTTATATGTGCCCAGTATTAAGCTAAGTAGAAATGCATTTTACCGAGCCATAAGCACCGTTATTTTGGCACATTAATTGCTAATAGAGTATATTCATTGGTTAAAAAACAAGGTTTAAGTACTCATGGTGAGATTTCTAAACGCCATATTTATCTAATCAGATTTAGCTATTCGTGTGAGTATTGTAATGTTATAGTCTTTTCATCCGTATACACTTTGCCTTTTACTATAAATTATAAACGGAATTAAACAGATAAAACTGAGAGTTTTCATTAAAATTCTAAAATTTTCAAGTGAATTCATAAAACTGAACAAGTCACGTCAATTCAACGATAACAAAAATACTAAACATAACAACGGTTTTAAAACCCAAATAGTTAATACGGAACAAATATTTGAAACAAACAATTGAACACATGCAACTCCAAGTCTTCCCAATATCCTTTCAATGTTAGTTTACTGTAAACATGGCTATGAGCTGGATGAATACCAATTAGTATTAGGCGGTATAGATTTATCTACATTTTGGTGAGAGTGGGTTGCATGCGCAGTGTGCGCTTGCGGATGATACAGGTGGAATGACGATGGCGGATGGAAGAATTGAGACTGGTCTAATGGCGACGCGTAATCTAACGCGCCAGGAACAGCCGAATATGCATGTGGTTTCAAAGGCAAAGGCGCCTCTCCCAAGTAAGAGTGCCTTAACGCCTCAGAATAAGCACTATTATCATATGGCAGAGCGTATTGCTGCTTGTCCCTAGGAGAGACAGAGCCTGGAGGTGTCATCGCTGAATGGTAATCAGCGTAACCTCCGTAAGCTAAAGAACTTATATCCGTACCTTTATGTCCCAACTGTTCCCCATACCCTGACCCTTCGCTACCGGGTGGCGTTGGTAAAGGTCCAGATTGACCATCACCAGAATAATATCCGCCAGTTCTTCCATCACCCAAAAAGTTACTACGAATAACACTCTCCCTATTTGCATAAAGTTGTCTTAATAGAGCTGATGCTGGCGTTGCTGTGTGATTACCAGGTATTTGCCTATTCAAATGATTTAAATGGTGATTCTGCGTTCCTATCCATTGAATAGTTGACTTCTGTTGCTGCTGTTTGAGTAAAGCATCCGTTGAAAAGTCAGTTGGTCGATGTGATATCTCTTTACCATCTAAAGCAACAGATGGTAAATGTTTGGACATTGCGTTTTCTAAATCTCTAACTGAAGTAGCGTCAGTGGTGCCTTCTGGGATTGCTAAATTTGTTTTGGATATATCCCGTTCAGCAGGTGATATGGCCGCGCCAGGATTGGAAGAAGACTTTCGCCTATCGTCGTCCCTTTCCTCGTCTTCCTCTGTTGTGTGTTTTCGTTTCTTCAGTCTTCTTGCCGGCATTGGTGACGTTCTTTCTGGATTAGTGTGGAGAGGTAATGGTTGGGAATCATTTAGTCTAGTTAAGTGTGTGACGTCGGACGTGGGAACTGGGGCAGTGGATGCCGTGTCTGTGTTTGTTGGTGGTTCAGTTCTTTCAGCAGGATGTCGTGGTGGAGGAGGCGGTGCTCCAGAGCTATCTGTATCAGGTGGACCGTTTTCTGGATCTCCGGTCGCTTCTTCACGTTTCACCCCCTGTACGCTTTCTTCTAATTGGCAGCAATCCATTACCGTGTTTGGGTATTCACGACCACTGTAAAAACAATAATTATCATTGTAGAAAATGGTTTAATAAGCTAATTTGCGTATCGTAGCAATTAGTTACATATTCCCAAGTACTGCTTTATGACTGACTACCCGATATAATTTATTCTTTATATTCATACTATTTCATCGATCACCGCACAAATAAAATGTCCGTATAACCTTTACGCGATATCTTGTTTATTAGCAAATAATATTAAAGTATATGGTAATTTAAATGCATTGTTACCTGATGACATAGTTGACGCAAATAATGTTTTGCTCTTCGGCATTCTTGGAGGAGCAGACGACTGTAGCGCACGTCTGCATCCATGTGTAACCGCCAAGCTTGTTCATTATTCTGTAGTAGTGTGTTAATACTTGACCTTTATTCATTACTGAAACAAGAAAAAAGAACCATAACTACCTGGCTCATAAAGCATATTTTGGGATTAAGACAATGGAACCATATTATCTTATCTATGGAACGTAAAAATACCAGCTTTACAAAAATTGCCTTAGATAAATTTTAGCTTGTCTTTATTGAATATGTGCACATATTATAATTTATTCTTATCTAATTAGTTAATCTAAGTGAATCTAAACATATAAATTTCTGAAATTTAAACTATTTAAAAACAACTTTTATCTCTGCTCGTACTTCGGTGAGTCTGATGTCATTTGATTGGATTACCAATCCTGGTATTTCATTTGGTATACTTAATGATTTGAAGAGAGACACATTTGACATCTTTGATCCCGAAACAAAGAAGGACCGTAAAATAGACAAGTTTTATGTACTAGTCATTCATTTGAATACTTAGACCTCAACTGACTTATTTTTGCAACCGTGACCGGCCAAAAATTTGCATGGCGAGTTATTTTACGTTGATATTATCAGATACAGAGAACGTGCAAAGATGCATGTACAAACCATACGGGTGTGGTTACATGATTACGATTATCCTGATTATGTATTATAATAAATATTTAAAAGGTGCTGCGGTGGCCTTGCGAGGGATACATAACACAATGGTTACTATGATGGATATACAAATGTGATGGTTGATGTACATGTAATAAATAGCCGTCATTATATTCAATATATCGCATACACAAAAGACAAAGCGCTAACACGTGTATTGTGCTACGTGAATCATTAGGACGTACACGGTTTTTGGTTTTGTTTTCGCATTGTTTATTGTTGCCATTTATTGACAATTAAAAATGCGTTTGGCTCGATGCCAAAAAGTGAAACCGATTTCAAGAGTTATTACGTCTATTATATGATATGCACAATGATTCCACGATATTTTTCATATTAGTAAACGACAGTAGCGGTCGCAGATTTTTATTGTAGGTACAAAAGTATCAAAAACATTCGATTGCATCTAGGTATTTATGAAACTTATGATTTACAAGAAAATTATGATCAGTAAGTGGTAACCGTCGCCTAAGAATTACATGATCAGTTATTACATATCACGTTATCCTGTGACGCCCGTGATGCGTTGATTCTTCCGGAGAACTCAAATGTCATGCCTCTTATCTTGTAATTTGATTTTTTTATCTCACCCTTCCAACAAAATATAGTAACCAAGGAAGGTGCTTGCCTGTTGAAATAGATCAGACAGAGACACACGAAGATGACTTTTAAGAAAGTTTACTTCCGTAAAGTGATGATAAATAACTATAATCTATTTACATTCACATTTTAGGGAAATTACTCATCTGTAAGATTATCATGAAAAACGGAATAATATAATAATGAAGTCATTTGTTGATCATATTTATATCTATACTAAGTCGGAAGTCACAACATTTTGTTTTATAACAAATAAAACAGCTCTCGTTAGAAATGTCGCCTATAACTTAATCGTGTACCCGGGCCGCGTATCAGGCTGTAACCAAATTACCCGCTTTCTAACAAAACACCCGGACTTTTATGTTAATACAAACAATTGTTATTCCGCGCTCACAATGTCCATATTTGACCGGCATCTATATAGGCATTGAGCATTTTAAATGCAAACTAATGGTCTCGTAAAGCTATCAACCGCCGGATTGCTAGAGAAAAACCGTATGACGTTCAAATTAAACCGTGATTGGAATTTGTCAGCCATTTTGTTTTGTTGTTATGTGTAGCTCGTGTTGGCGGGGAGTTACGTCAGTTGTGTTATGAATGACAGGATTTATAAATCCATAATAGGTTGTAGGTATTGTGAATGCAAAAGTGATGCTGTTAGTAATTGTCATTGTAATGTTTTCACCTCAGTTTACAGATTTGGATAAAAATTGGCACATAAATAGTATACATGCATCGACAAGTTTTTACTATATATGGACTTTTTTATTTCTCTATCAATAAATTACGAGGAATCTAGAATATATAGCCATCATGACCCACAGTAAAATTACTGTTTTTAAAAAATGCTACCACATATATCAATAATGTTAGACAAATTCAGGAGGTAGTTTCGTAGGTTTTCGCCATATCTCAGTTAACTTATTCAGATCATACATTAAATGGTATGTGAACTGCTAGGTTATGATGAGATGGTATAGAAATTAAAAAAACACCTGCTTATATTATGATAATGTAAGCTGTACATATTTAGGCTGGAGGCAGGATAACGTAATCTATCCTCCGCGTATACCTACTCAAATAGTCTAGTTACTTTTTTAATTATTAGAATGGCAAAAAGCTGACGATTCATTTAAATGGTAAGTGTAACTGTCGCCAATGTACATAGACCGTAAAGCAGATATCATTTCATGACAGCTTGTAGCACTAGTACGTTGCAGTTCCAGAGAACTAAGTTGTCATGCTCATAGCCTGTAATTTCAAAGTAAGCTGAAATAGTAGAGACGGAAACACAAACGACTTTCAATGAAGTCTACTTCTGTGAAAATTCGTTCTAATATCTATCTAACTACTTTACTGATAGGTTTCCCTTTGCGGTCTTTGTTATCTCTGAAAATATTACTTTGTCTCTCTGTATAACAGGTTCATCTACGTCACATTTTGCCTTTCTTGCAAGATTGTTCATTAGAACTCTGCTCTTATTGATCGTATCGTGTAGCGTGATGTTATAATATATAGCCTATGACACTCACAAATACGGGATTGTCTATTGGTAAAAAAAATCTAAATGGATTCAGTGGAGCCAAAGATTACCCCTACAATCTCACAAACTTTAACTCCTTATAATATTAGTATCGATATACCATAAAAATATCTATGTATATAACGAAGAAAACATTCTATAACCAAATGTAATATGCTATCTCAAAGAACATTAAGACACGACATTTCCCACGTCTATAAGGCCAGGGAAAGGAAACCAAAATGATGGTATAAAAATTATTATTCAAATCACAACCGCGCGGAGCCGCGTGGCGTTAGCTCAGGATTGTATTCGACTGACGAATGCGTGGAAAAGTAATAATATCTTACGTATATGATGGTAAGATTACATTATTTGAATAGGGATTTTCCTCCCGATGTCTGCGGTGCCTAACCAGGTAGGTGCAACGTGACTGAGATGTTAATATCCCTGTCAATTTGGTGACTTAGACGGAGATTTAGTTATTGGTATATATTACCAACACTGGTGCCAGTAATTTTATTTACAATTACTATACAATATTCATAAAAGATTTATCAAATACTAATAAAAGGACTGTCGCATTGAAGTATTTTAATGCGTGATAGGACACGGAATGCATATTTTTCTTTTAATAAATTTTAATTTGTCTTACTATTTATGTAAAACCTTATATAAAGTTTATTTTAGGATTGATATTGTTTATCTCTACTGTACTGTTTTTTACTACATTACGCGATAAATGACTGGAGTTTTTCTAAAGACTTTGATTAACAGATATATACACATAACCGAGATTAAATCGTAGAATGCTTTGCAGTGCGAGTAATTCAAGTAGTTAAGAATAGACATGTCTTTGCGACATGATAGGTTGCGAAATAGGCAATTAGTGGGTTGAGTAGCGTCACCTAGGTACCACAGTTTTTAATAGGTATCTGTGTTTGTTGAATTTTCATTAATTATTACTTCATATAAGCTGTATAACGAATTGAATTAATAATTTTAATAAGTCAATCAGTGAATTAGCGGAAAATTATATTTATTTATTTTATCTATTTTTTTATTATAATATTTTTTTTAATTACTCTTTTTTTTAACAACTATCATTGTGAGAAAAAATTTAACTCGATTTAAGATATTTGTCCCGGCATTTGGGTACAAATCTAACTTCTACAACAATAGCTTTCTATCCAAGCAGAATAATACAGCAGTTGGGTAAAAATCTATCTTCAAACACAAAATAAACATTCTCGGGTAGGTATACCTACTATTGAATAAAACAAAGCGTCTAAAGAAAATTACATCGGGACATTGCAAACGAAATTTCCCAGAAAACAAAACGCACTGGACTCATAAATTTTCCTCGTAACGCCTTCAGCTGCCAGCTCTTGACATGGATTTCTAAAGGGTACAAACGGAATACAAATCGCTTGTTGCGACAACTATGAAGGATTTCACCACATAATATTGGGTCATGGGTGGCCGTTACATCGGTCCTCCTTATAGATTGATTGTGCGTGTAAGGTTAATCGATTCATTCACACATGATTATTTTGATAAGTACCTATTAACCTAAACTATGTATTTGCTTCTATTTAGAAACAATAACAAACAAAAACTATTAGAATAAAATAGAATTTGTAACCTTTTAATGTTATATATATCTCTATTATCCTTAAATTACTGAAACTCGTGAAATATAGTAATATGGGTGCGTATTTGGAAAAGCTTATTCTCTATAAATTTTGAACTGCCTGCAACAACCTTTGATTATATTTCAAATTCTTTGTCAATTTTCAGTTGAAGGCTGAGATTAGGCAGTGAAATTACAGGATGTGAGGACATGTCATCTTAGGCTCACAGATAGGCATCGCATGAGTGGTGTCAGTCTCACGTAATGGTTATCATAAGGCAGCCAGCTTGTTTGTCATTTCAATTAACTACAAAAGTGGGTATAGGTACAAATATAGATAATACTCACAATCTACATGGCATTTTCTAAGTTTATTTGCATCTTCTCCATGACAGAGCGCATACAGATTCTTCCCCGTCAGCTCCTCCGCTGTGTACCCGAGTAGCTCTGACACCCTGCTGGTGATAAATAATACCATGTATCAACTTCTTTAGTAAATAAATACAACATCGATAGATTTCAGGTCATAGAACGATTTTGATGTTTTTATAATTTTCCTATTATAGGATGCTATCCAGGCCAAACATGTCAAGTCAAGTCGACCTCCACGGGGCATCCCTTGGATTATCAGATCATTCTGATAAATTTGCGATGATCTTACTGACCTGACTTTGCGCTCATCTATCATCCGCCACTCGTACAGCGCCAACGTATGATGTTAGCTCAAGCAATACATACATACTGCCACGACTATTATTCCAGGCGAGGTAATCAGAGGCATTGTCAACTGTCGATTTTGTGGTGAACGCAACACTAGACATGTCCACATTCTCGTTATTTTTTTAAATCTAATGTGGCAAGGGGCAATCAAAAGTATATGATTACTATCGACTCTCGGATTAATTTTTAGTTTGATATCGGTGTCCCTTACCGGACGGTTCAGTCAAAACTGCAAGGCACATAGTATTTTATATATGTCGGGTAGGTTTAAACTCACAACGTTTTGTATGTACCTATTGAACGTAGTGAACCAAGGGCTACGACACTCTCAATATATATTATATACAATATGAAATCCAAATACCTCGGTTCGCAGTGCGCTATTCTGAAATCAAAATTGATCCTTGTGACGAACATGTCCGATTCCAGCCTTATCTCATGTACTGATGGTGGTGGCAGTGCTATAGCCAGGGCTACCATCCCCAGTAGCACTGTTGGTGACTTCCGGCTGTGCGAGAATGAGTACTGTGGCCGTAGTCTGCACAGCATTAGTACCACCTGGAAAGATAGAGACAGACATTGACGATCTTATATAATTACAATCATATGCGGCAATTGAAGTAAACTGTCTTACACATGACATTGAGATCCTTGAGATGAGAAGAGGATCCTTGAGATCCTTGATGGGAAATATTGACCAATAAATAGGTGCGTAAAAACAAAAGACGTTATGTTCCAGAACAGTGTTTTTCAAACTATGGGTTTCACTAAAGGTTGGATAGTCACGGGCTACAAAAATATATATAAAAAGCGGGCTATAAAATGTATATGCTTCTTATACCGCTTAATGGCACCCCACAACTGAAACACAGCTTAAGAAGCTTGCGGCTGAAATAGGTGAGACTGAGATACCCACGTATATGACTTATTACAGTCTATCTCTGGTAGATACTAAAATAAAGAAAATTACAAAGAAATAAAATTTTAATTATTTCAAATATTTTGTTTGATGTGGCTTATACCTATTCTAAAAGCGGTTTATTGAACCTGTGCACAAAACTTAAAAATGTACAAATTCTAAACACGTTAAAAAGATGCTAATAAAAAAATCTTGTTAAAACTTCGTAAATTCGTCTTCAGTAACGGCAAACACGAAACGTGTTTCATATAAAGGAAGATAACTTTGGGAACGCAAACTTTATTTGTTACTGACAAATTTTCAAAGGCACGTAGTGTATTCAGAGACAATCTGGTAAAGATCAGGTACAAGAAAGATGGTTTAATATCAAATTTTGCCAATAAAATCTGCGCCGCTGGCGAATTCACGGGTCGCACCACACCTAATAATGGCTGTACTAATTGCCACGTCGAATCTCGTACCATTTGTATGAGCCATTTAGATGTAGATAATTCTAATTGTAGATATAAATTTTCGAATTTATGTATGTATACTTAGTTTAATGTTTTAATAAATGTGTATATTTGCTTGTTGTCTTTTTCTGCATATCATAATGTTTCTTTAAGTTTGTATTTATCTATCCAATTTCGGTAATCAATGAAATTAATGCCTATATTTATATAGGTATATAACATACTAGTGGCCAATTGTAACTAGGATTGGTATTGACGGACAGTGATTTTGTATTATATCTACTTAGAGATAAAGAGCAAATCAAAAGAAAATCTTTAATTCGAAGCTACAAAATAATTTGATTACCAAATCTAAACCATTTTTCTTTCTCCCTCTCACACACACACGTCTATAATATACGTTATTAAATTAAAACAAAAATTTTACACCCCACAAATATTCTATTTTAAATTTTATGCGCCTAGTGTAGGGACTAGGTACATTATTTCAAGGCGCTGAAAACATCATCATGTGTTATAGATTTTCACAGTGGTAAGGTAAGAATTATGAGGTTATAGGTTTTCAAATGATTTCGTAATATTAACCAATAATATTTGTTAGTATACAAACTTATGTTTTTATAGATAGCTTATTCCAAATGCTAAAATTTTGTTTGTTTATAACCTACAACACTTGTACTTTCACGATTACGATCACCCGGCATATTATTCTACCCCATAATATGCCATATTGGTTACAATTTTCTAACTGACTTCATTCACTCTCGTCCTCTCATTCATCACTACTACCGCCCGTAGCCTCTCCAAAGAAGTAACACTCTCCAACGTAAACTGTTAGCGAAGGCGGGTCCACCATTCCAGTATCATCGCTTAAAAAAACTCATATCTTGCCATTCCGTAGGACTAAAATATTAAGTTTTAAATACTGTAAATTAACTGCCTTATAACATTTTATATACCTTTCGATCAACTTACAATGCGAGTCACTAGGCGACTAAACAGAAAGTCAAGTACAAAGTTTACCTAGATATAATTTAACTCATTCTTTCTTAAATAAAAAAAAAAAAAACTATTTAATATTTAGAATATATAAAAAATAATACATAACGAATAATATTACATAGGTATATGGCCTGCTTCATGTACTTAACTCATTTCAGATACGTATACAACATAAGAATATTAATATGCATTGCCAATATAATTACTAGACTCTTTCCCTATAGACTATCTAACAACCTTAACCTTATATCTCATTAAACATACTAAATTATCAAAGACTCTTCTTATTGATAACTTTGTTTGTTATGATACCCACCCGCCAGCTACCACTCTCTTCAAATCTTGATGATTCACCGTCCTTGTTTCGTCCAACCTAGATTGAAAATGAAAATTCAGCGTCCATTTATTTCTTTCTCATTTTAAAAATAAAATGTTGAATGAAGCAAATCGTCCACATATTTTCATAGTCACCGTTGAGCAAATTAACACTACGTTTTAAGAGTTGACACTGCCGATATGTGATCGGAAACTAACTTGTATGAAACCAACTGCAGGTTAGTAAACCTATAGGTTGTTTCTTTCGACAATTGTTTTATTCCAAGTGTTGTAGAGATGCTTATAAGTATATAATAATAATATTTTTTTACAAGGGCCACCTGCAATATAAATATATTATATTCCAAAAAACGCAGGAACTACTTAAGACATATAGTTACATAGTTTATATATTTGTATATTAGTACATGTCTTACATTGCTCATATATTTGTATTGCTGATTACTTTTCTCATAAAAACTATGTTTTATACCTATACATGATTATTACTATTTTTATGGTCAAGTTGTAAATATAGTGATGCTATCTGTAATTGAGATTTGGTATATGACAGTCTATTTTTACTTTAGTATTCCTTACCCTATATCCTGATGATTTGAAGTGGCAGCCACGTTTGGTGAGGGTGCTCTTCATTCGGACACAGAAGGCTCGATCCATTCCCCGGTACAACTGGCCGCTTGCTGCTAAACTCATTTGTGATGATACTGTTGAACAAAAACGTGAAATTAGGCACTATTCAGCACATCTTCCGTACATACAACATTTGCATTTTTTGCAAATGCATTAACCACTCTATTAATAAAATTATAACAACAACACTTTATTGGGAACAGAGTAAAAATAAAAAAAATCTGAATGTTAAAAAGAGCATTGCTGCAAAATGCAAAATGCTGTTTTATCACTAGGAATAAGCATTATCTTAGACACATATTAGTGTCTGTAATAGCATAAAATAATAATAATTTAATATTAATTAATAACAATTAAGAAACGTTTACAAATAAATACAGCGATTAGTAAAATGAAAATAATCCTATTAATATTATAAATGCAAAAAATTTTAACGACGACATATGGATATTTTCCACTCTTACATGCAAAATTTACTATATAGATTCGAAAAAATAATAATACAAAGATAGAGCATGTCCTAGATTAATGCATAGGATATTTTTTACCCGAGGCATTTCATGCAGGCACTGCCGCAGAATATAGTTAACACTTAATTTATAATAATATAAATTCGCTTTCCAGTTTGTTGCTTGTTGAGTTTACCGTTGGTCGTGTGATCCTCTGTGAGACTCCGGTTCGCCGTCGAGTCTCCAGAGTGAGCCCCGCAACTGGTGCCCACTTGCGCAAATTGTTGAGAGCGATACAGTGCGTAATCCAGCTACACAAAGTGTACTTTGTCTAGCGAGAGAACGCGCTAGGATTGTAGACCGAATTTGTTGACGCAAATTCGTTGCTGCAATCCACTTGCGACTGTCTTACAGCGTGATCACCTGCCCTTTCAGGGCGGAATTCCCTACCTTTCGGTAGGTTCGTCGTGGGGTTCTAGCCCCCACACCACCCTCTTCCACCCCTCCAGTCCCCTTTCCTAGTACATCACCCTTTCGTGTCGTGATGTCGCAAAGGGGCAAAGCCCACAGGAAACCTCCTGACAGGGGAGCTCCCCGAACTGTTGTGCGTCGGGATTTAAGGAACCCGACCAAGCTGGTCCCCGCCACTGAGCTGGGGACCTTCCACGCTCGCCCGGCATCCAAGGGCACCCCCTCTGCCCTTGATGCCGCCGACCGGGAACCAGGCAGAGGGGAGAGATGCGCGCAACCTGGCCCATCTAAAAGACGCGCACCGCCGTCGCCGACCTCGCCCGCTAGAGGCGACAAACGGAGGGACGTAGAGGAGTCCCCCCCCGCGACCTTGACCTAGTGAAGGTGCCGCCGACGCCGAGAATCCGGCTTGTTACCAACCCCTACCGTCCCAGTCGGGTACCGTGTGTGATGTACGGTGACGCATGCTCGTCGCCGTCACCAGCGTCGTCGCCCGAGACATCGCGAGCACCCTCGCCACTACCCCGTTCCTACACATTAGATAGGGGTGGATATGACGCCACTTCTTATGTGGCACTCGAGGCGGTTTCACAATCGCCCGAGCCGATGCTCCCCCCCGTCCCCTCGCCGCGACGACGAACCCCGCCGTCATTCGCGGCAGTAGCGGCGGGTCCCGCCACCGCGGCCCCCGCCACCCCAGCCCCTGCCACCTCAATTGCCCCGGCTCTCGCTCCGCCCCTCCCCTCTCAGACGAGGAACGCCGACGCAGGCGCTGAACCCGCCACAGGGCGAGGAAAATACCCCCCCATAGTGGCAGAACGCCTCCCTAATGGACGCGCCACTTCGACCAAGGCGCGTACTAGGGGAGGCACCCAACGCAAGACCCTACGGCACGGGGGTCAGATTCCTGCCTAGGACGGACGAAGAATTCCGTGCCGTCCAAAGGTATTTAATAGAGGCCAGCGAAAAGGACCCAACAATGTTGGTACTTTTATAGTCTGGCCTCCGAACTGCCCACTAAGGTGGCGATAAAGGACTCCCAGCCGACACGCCCAATGACAAGATTGCGGAGGCACTGCAGGAGAAGGGGTTCGGAGTGCGGCTAGTAAATTTTAGCTCGACCCCATGGACAGGGACGATTCACACGCTTGTACGCGACTGATGAGCTCCTGTACATGCGGGGCGTCGTCGTTGATGCGTGGAAGCCGGCATCGGTGCTGCCACAATGCCACAGATGCCAGGCATTCGGCCATGCATCGGCCAATTGTCACCGGCCTGTAAAATGCGTTCGCTGTGGTGGGGAGCACCCGGCGGCGAACTGCGACAGGCCGCGTGACCAAAAGCCGACCTGCGCCAATTGCGCAAAGCCGCACACCGCCAACGACCGGAAGTGCCCGGTGTACAAAAGAGAGGCCCGGCAGAGGGGAATCAAACCCCGTCCCCCCGTATCCACTGCGACGTCGATGGCGCCCACGGCGCAGCAACGGCGGCGCAACAATCCCACCGCGGCGCCTCGTACACGCCCAGGTCCCCCTCCCGTAATAACGGTCGAGGAAACCGCTGGCGCCAACCTAATGGCGCCGGCTAACGAACCGACGCAACGAGGCGCCGACGCCGGTGCAATTAAAAAGCGCCGCCGCCGAAGACGCGGCAAGAAGAGGCGCGGAGATGAGCCCGTGACGGCATCAACCCCAATCCCCTTCCTACCTGATCCCACCCCAATATTTGCGTACAACGCACCCCCCTCCCTTCCCATGCATGCCGTCCCAAATCAGGGCCCGCGTGCAGCGCCACGTCGCCGCCAGGCGGCGCCACCGGCACACAATGTGCCGAGAGTGGCATTCAAGCAGCTTTTGGCGGACGTAAGACGCGCACCTCCCGCGCCTCCCACATACCCCGCGCCGCGTTCGGCACACGCCGCGCCCGCGCCCTTCACACAAGCGCCCGTCGACAGAGCACTGAACATGCTTATTAGCCTGTTGACGGAGCTGCTAACAACGCTCGCGGCCGGCGCGGACACAAAGTCGGCGGCATTAAATGGATTGGCCAAAATCCAACAGTACACAAATGGCGGGTACTAGCCTGCGCATTGTGTACTGGACCCCGGGGGAATAAAGGATAAAGTCCAGGACCTCCGTCTCCTAGCTCGCACCCAGGATGTGCACATCATACTCCTGGGTGAAACGAAGCTCACAGAAAAGGAGACGTTGAGGGTGCCTAACTACCACGTGTATAGACGCGACGAAACGTCACCGGCGGGCATTGCGTACCGCGGTACGGCGGTACTAGTCCGTCGGGACGTAGTCCACGTGGAGTTAGAGCGCCCCGAGTTCCGCGTCATGCGCTCCATAGGAGTCAGCATCAACGTCGACGGCGCGGAACTGAAGGTCCTGGCAGCTTACCGTCCCCGGGACTGGATTTCAGCCCCTCCGATGTCCGGAACGTTCTGGATGGGAGGAGTCCCACCCTGCTTATGGGCGACCTAAACGCGAAGCACACGGCTTGGGGTTCCCGTCTGTGCTCGCCGATAGGTCGAAGACTCCTCCAGGATTCGCAGATCCACGGGTACGAGGTGTTGGGCCCAGCGCACCCAACCCACGTACCCTCAAATCCCACACATAGCCCAGACGTTCTGGACATTGCCCTAGTGCAGGCTGTGCCTTGCCCGGTCTTACTGGAGGTGCTGTACGACCTTGACACGCAGCACCTCCCAGTTCTAGCCACGCTTGACCTCTCCATCACCACCACACCGACGAGACCGTCGAGGCGGCGGATGGATTGGCGTGTTTTTCGCGCAGAATTGGAGCATCTACACCTCGACGGCGAACTATCATCGCCAGCGGGTGTCGAAGCCGCCTCCACACTCATAACGGAGCGAATCCGCACCGCAGTGGAGGCGGCAACTACCACAATAAACGTGGCTTCTCGCCGTCGAGAGGAATTGCCACACCATCTGCGCGAAAAACTCGCCCGGAAAAAGAATCTCCGTCGCCTATGGGCCCGAACCCGTTGCCCGCGGGTCAAGCGTGAGCTCAACTGCTTGGCTGCAGAGCTGTCGGAGGGAGTGCGGGATTGGCGTGGAGCCGCCTGGGATGGTGTCATATCCCGGGCTGGCGAACACGATACCGACCTGCACAAACTCAATCGACAGCTCACCAATGCACGACCTCCCGTCTGCCCGTTGCTTGACGAGACGGGCAGACGTCGTTACGCAGCCCAAGACCGGGCAGAAATCCTGGCACAGCACTTGGAGGGGCAATTCACGGCCAATCCAATCGCCGCCGACGCACCCAGCACTGTCGTCGAGCACCACGAGCGAGTCGTACGTCGCGTATGTGATTTCCGTACCGCTTTTAAGGCGGCTCGTCAGCCGCCTGCCGAAGCGCAAAGCGCCCGGAGCGGACGGGATCAGCACCGCAGCGCTCACACAGCTGCCCCGTAGAGCCCTAGCGTGTTTAGCTAGGCTCTACAACGGTATACTCCGGACCGGCCACTTCCCTACCAACTGGAAGTTGGGTAGAGTCATAGTCCTCCCGAAACCCGGCAAGGACAAGCGCCTGCCGGCAAGCTACCGGCCCATCACTCTGCTCTCGCACGTAGCAAAGTCGTTCGAGCGCCTCCTGCTCCGCCGCCTGAGACCGACTCTGTCGCCTCGCGACGAGCAGTTCGGTTTCAGAGGCGGACACTCGACGACTTTGCAGCTGACGCGCGTGCTCCACCATATGGCTGTCGAGCACAACCGCGGCCACTACACGGTCGGCGTATTTCTCGATATAGAGAAGGCGTTCGACCGTGTGTGGCACGACGGTTTGGTGTCAAAGCTGCTCGACACCAACACGCCGTCAGCATACGTGCGAGTAGTGGACTCGTTCCTCTCGGGCCGGAGCTTCTATGTTTCGGTCGAGAACTGTGACTCTACCACACGCCCAATTGCCGCCGGAGTCCCGCAGGGCAGCTGCATTTCGCCAGCGCTCTACGCGACGTACACAGACGACATCCCCACCTTGAGGGATGAGCTCCGAGAGGGAGAGAGGGATGTCGTCCTCGCTCTTTTCGCCGACGACAGTGCCTTCCTTACGTCGTCTCGCCGAGCCTACGCAGCCGCTCGCAAAATGCAGCGGCTGTTGGACCTGCTCCCCGAGTGGCTGGATAAGTGGCGTACCACCGTTAACGTGGGTAAAACGGTGGCGCTGCTTACCCGCCCCGGGTGCAAATGCCCGCCGCCCCTCTTACTTAGAGGCCAGCCCATACAGTGGGAACGCACAGTGCGTTACCTAGGGGTAGAAATCGACCGGTCGCTGCGTATGAAGCCGCAGGTGGACCGGGTTGTCACCCAAGCCAAGGCCGCGCGCGCTATGCTGCGACCGGTCTTACAATCCAGGCTGCAGCTGCGGACGAAAGTAGGCATTTATAAGACCTACATTCGTTCGCGGCTCACATATGCCCCCGCATGGTACGCACTGTGCTCGGCCTCACAGCGGCGGAGACTGCAGGTCCAACAGAACGCCGCCCTCCGTCTGTGCACAAATGCCGGACGGTACGTCCGTAATGACGTGATCGCCCGCGACCTCAAGGTCCCATCGGTGGAGCAGTTCGTCGTCCGGTTGACGCGCGCGATGTTCTCGCGCGCGGACAGCGGGCGCGAAGCGCACCTGCGCGACCTCGCCCCTCTCCACGCGCGCCCACCGGACGCCACTCGCGCGCTCCCGCGCGACCTACTCTCCACCGAGTGATCACGTCATTTACGTGACGTGGCGGCGTTAAGCCGGCTCGGCGAGCGACATAATGATTCCCGCCACACAACGCCCACAGGCGGCTGCTGAAAAGCAGCCGCCCTCCGGCCGGCCGGCAGGTCGGCCGGTAAAAGAACGACGCTGGGGTGGTTCACCCCAGCAGAATGCCCGGGCAAGGAGCGCAAGCTCGGGGCCCGTACCCAGCGGTCCAGTTAGGACCAGCGGACGACCCAATAATAAATAATAATAATAATATAAGTTAAATATTTTTGTGTTACTACAAGGTACTCAATGTCCTTGTATCAAGAACGTATGTAGTATGTAAATATAGTTAACACACTATCCTATAACATTTTCTAAGTTTGCAGGAAGAATTCTCTTTTTAGAGATAAGCTCGCCCTTGTACATTACATTTATTCTGTATAATATTTTATTATGTGTGTGTGTACAATAAAGAATAAGTATTGTTTCTTATTGCACACGATCATTCCTCGAGGCATGTTATACAAAACTCTATATAGTAAATCTAATTTTCTTCATAATAAGTGTTATTTGGCTTATGGGAATAGCCAGATCCATCGAGTGATAAATAGCTAATTAAAAGATTTGAGTTGCGTTCGGTTCTCAACGCTCCAAAGGGAATCGAACGCTACCACGCTCTAATTGATTTTACTGAGATCGTTCCATGGTTTTGTAATATTTGGTGGTGCTTCTAAAACTTTCATTTTGACCTTTAATAATATACTAGTGGTGCCCGGAACTTCGCGTACAAGTATATTTGTGTGACCATCTATACGTACCATCCATCGTGACGTATACATGCTGATATCAAATAAATTACCTATAGGACGAAATCTTTATTTTGTTAACAAATTAGTTAATAAAATAGATGGTAAAACCTATTAAAACATTGACAAAATTAATTATTTGATTTCCTTTCAAGGATACATTTCACAGCGTGTGATTATGTATATTTAAAAATATAATCTCTCATGCTTCCAACTGTTTTTCGTGGAACCTTAATACAGAAATAGTTAACTATTTAACAAACAAAAAATTTTGTCTATACAAACAGATAGTTTTCATAAAATTATAATTATATGATTTTTTATATGCTAATAAATAAAGACAAGATTTGTCAAAGAGAAAGATTTTTCAAAGTTAGTGTGATAAAGTAAAAAGCATTTTTTATATTTAGTCACTTATGAACGTTTGTAATTTTGCTAATATTTTAAAGGGTTACAATAGAATAAAAAACCAGATATACTGTACTGTTCAGTTCGACTAGCAAGAAAATCATGTAGGTTTTTTTGATCAGTCTGTAATTTCGAATAAACTTGCAGGGTTTAAAGATTAGGATTTTCTTTAAAGAAAATTGTTAGGTAATGTATATATAAATTAGTAGTAGTTATTATCAATATACTCTTCTAAATTCATAGACATTTGAACCCTTCTTAAATTCTTTGGCAAAAACCGCACAATTACCATTGATACGGACAATGTGTTGTTAGGTTGAATCACACCTTTGTACTACTTGTAATACGCAACTACATGACTAAGAACTTAGTTATTTGAAGTTATTTTTGAGTCAGTAATTTCTGTATCTATTTATATTTGATTTGATGGGTGTAATGTTTATAATAAGAGAAAATCTAAAGGATTAATATATTATTAGGATTTATACTAATAATAATAGTCTAAGGACAATTTCATACAGTGTCATCTAGACGCAAGTTAAGCTAACTAAAGCTTGTGTTATGGGTACTAGATAATTCCTATAAATATAACATTACACACACTATTTATATATTATAATATCTAGTTAAACCTGCTAAAACAATAATTCAATCATTTTAGCATTGGTGATTCCAATTGATCGCAATGTACGAATGTATAAGGTGAACATACTGCTAAGTACCTAATTTATTTTTTAGAACAAAGGACACCCTAAATTCTACTTTATAGTTGATTAATGAATCATTTTCATTTCATTTTTCAAGAATAAATTTAATTAAAGCCAGAAATACGTATTATATTATTACGTATATAGTTACAAATCACGTGGAACAATATATTGCTAGTAACAAAAAAAACTCGTCTTCATTACTGCGTAACTTTTGTACTTCAACATGATAGTACATCAACAATGAAATACAAAAAATAAATTGATAGTATTTGGCGTCAACGATTTATTTAGTTTAAGAGCCACTGCCACCTATCAATCTAGCTAGTGCCGTGATTTTTTCACATTTCAGCCAGTCGTATGGCTATAAGGAGACATTGTGATCTTTTCTCCACGGCCCACTGTTCTGTGAGCTCGTTTAACTACGCCCGTCACACCACAATGGCCCACTGTCACCCAAACTCCATCCTGATTGATTTTTTTCAAACAACAAGTTTTTCAATACACCTCTCGAGTAAATTAAAATTGATTCTAGCCCTTAAGTTATTCATGTTAGTAAATTGAAATCGAACTTATCCGTTAGTTTGGGAAAAAACTGGGTCAAATGTGCCACTGTCACGGTTACTGAATTGATTTTTTGTACGACCATTTTAGGTTTAAATTAGCAGATTGACTTTGTCACGGTCAAATGAGACATCTAACAAATGTTGTATTAATAATACGTGATACCGTTGAAATTTTATACTGATATATGTATTATATATTTATTATACATTTAGTTAAATATGACGAAAAAATGCAGTTAATATCCTAATAATATGTGAAAATGGATGTAGAATTCTTTATTATTAGATATGACATATTCTAGATTAATATAAAATACTTTTAGGTCTAATTCACGACAACAAGTGAATACTATCTATATCTAAAGTACGAAATAAAACAAGTAGATACATTTACAATTGAATTCTTATTATGCATAGGAAAAGTGTTTTGAAACAGTATGTGATTTAATCAATGTTTTACTAGTGAAACGTATATTAAAACCACAATAATAAAACTTCGAGAGCAGTAGAGCGATGAATTACTGCTATTTGACAGTAAAATTATATCTGAATTACTTTTTTGTGTGTCTGGACGTTTAATTGAACTCAACACCCACAGAGAACGGAAGCAATAGCGGCCAATCTGAGATTAGGTGCGATGTGGCGCCTATTTCAATGAAATCCTAATAAGTTCCCGCTCTTCTTCTGGCCGTGAAATGAAATATTAATCAATGCTTATAAAGGTAGCCACCGACACCCTATTGACCGTTTCATAAGTTCCCAACGCGCCGTGAAGTCTTCGTAATCAAATTTAAATTTGTACACCAACTTATTATTGGTGACATTAAGCGATTCGATATAGTAAGTGAAATGTACAGATCGGTATAGTCACCTATTGAAGGAGGTGCAACGGCCTAGAAAATACGGAAACTTTAATTGAATACAGAACTGTTTTTTTTCTTGTTTTGGTAAAAAAATATTATTGGACCAGTTGTCTTTTTTCAACAGAATGTCTCGAAAAATGTCGATAAATGAATAACGGGGCGTTAAGTAGAAAGTCGCTGTTTTTTTAACCGTTTACAACAAATGTTTTAGTAAATAAGTAGGTAGCGTTTGATATAGTTAGCTAGTTTAGTATTTTGTGGTATCAATACAGTGAAAAGACGGCAACCGATTTATAAAAGAATTTACAATTTGCCAACTGGCAGGTAAAAAAGGCCAACGATCCATTGCTTTAGCAGAACTATTTCAAAATATAATTATAGAAATATAATTTCATACTGAAGATGGAACAGATTTGGATGTAGCTTTTTACTTGCAAATTAATGCCTCTGAATTAACATGCATTCAGGTGCTCTTATCTCATCATAAAATATACTCATATTTTATAGGTTATTAATAAAATTTAGTTATTTATAAAAGAAAATAATTTATGTTCTTTATGTTTGTTTGTAATGGATGAAACGAAAATTATATTTGATCGTTTCTTAAATTCTTTCATGTATACCTACATTTAATTAAAAAACCGATTTCATGAAAGGTAAGCAAGGTTACAAGAAAAACTGAGCACATTATCAACATAATAAAATCTTTTAGAATTTTTACTGTTTATCTGTGTGTTTTTATGCAATAATTTGAGAAACAGCTTTGGATGCGGTTTTCACTAATATATTGTGATAAGTGGTAATATAAACGTTACACGAAGTTGCGGGCTCAGCTTGTGTACAACAAAAGCTAGAGCATCAGAGAGTAACAAAAGCTGTATCAGAAACGAGCTATGATACGCGATAAAATTAATATTTAATGAACATACCATCAGGATTATTGGTGCCATGTTGACTGCCTTCCTCACTGCCTGACGCGGGGCTATTCAAACCAGTGCCGCCTGATCTTCCAGCTAAAGAGAGCCCCAGTTGTTCCGCTATTTCCGCATGGTCAGCTTGATGCACATAATCGAATATACTACTACCCGTCATCTCCACCTAGTAAAAAAAACATCTCGTTATTATAAATAGAAAAGACTATAAGGATTCAGGCCTTACTAAATTATAGTAAAGTAGATAGTGATTAAGTGCTTATACTGTCAACTAACGACATAACAAAACATATCATCACGACTAACATCCCAGATGGGGTAGTCAGAGGTATTGTCAATTGTCAACGCTATGAACGCAACTTGATATGGTCACATATCGGGCAGCGCATTTGAATCAATTGTGAGGAATCTACCGTCGTCTCAAAGATTAGTTTTTGGTTTTATTGTCGGTGTTTGCACCGGAGAATCTGTCAGAAATACTAATTTATACGCCAAGTTTTTTTTCTATTTGGCGCTGGCCAGATTTGAATTCACGATCTTCAGGCCACAAAGCTCTCGACGTCAACTATTATAATACCAATTGATAACTAATCATCGCCAATCAAAAACATATCGCTTTGGAATATCAGGGTACGGAGATATCTCATCAAAACTCAAGAATGGCCACAAAGTTGGGATAGAATAGATATGATATAAAGAGCTGAAATTAGGAGACCATAGGTAAGGTGTCGGTTGCCACTTTCATGCCCGTAGGTAAAAATGTAAAATGGAATGGCCATTGCTTAGAAATTCAATAACAATTTGATTTTCATTTAAGTAACGTAAAATGGATGTAGAACTAATCCAATTTAAAAATATTAATTCATTATATTGGTATAACTAAAGTGGAACTCAGTCAATCTCTAATAATAAGTATACAGTATATTATTAAAGCATCTTTACCGATGCAGTATCTAATTGTAAACATGACTGGAAGTAACTTAAGATCTAAAAACATCTTATAGCGGACTTGCAACAAGAGGTTAACTTTGTCCGGCCAACTCAGTGAGCTGTCACGTACACTGTCATCGTTATGAATGAACGGGCGGTTATCAAGCATCGCATAGCAGGTGGCTCCATAGAGACACCTATAAAGTTTGGACGTAACGAGTACGTGGCTAGCGGTGACAAAATTGAAGAAAACACTATTATGAAAACACTTAACAGTTAAGTTTTTGGATCTCATGAACTCTTTATTTATCGTAGTAAAGATGTCAGCGAAGTCATATAGAATGCAGTTGTTAAATATCAATATTAGTAGATAATAGAATTGAAAATGATTGAGAAGAAAGGAAGAGTAATTTTGTAGTTGTAAATAAATTCGATTAACAATATGCATAAGAAACAGTCAAACGATTTCAAAGTCCACCGCTCTAACTTTCTAAGTGACCCTTTCACGGCTTATGCAAATGCATCTGTAAATAAATTTATCAAATATAATTGTGGGACCCTATTAGAGATTCAAGCGACGTGTATCCGCAGTCAACGACTGAATGTGAATACTATGAACAATAGTGTTGTTATGGTGGTCTCTTCTAAGAACCATCCTGGATATTTTATGTTATTTACTGATTCGCTGATTGATGGCTAACAAATTCGATGTCGTCAAGTGCCAGTTATTTGCATAAATGGCTAGCTATTTGTCAACATAGCTACACTATAGGCTTACATAATAGAAGAATATATAAAAGTGTTTATTATTAGAAATATTAGCACTATTAGATTTGCAATTAAACATGAATATGTTAAAAGAAATGGAGTAGTATTAATGCAATTCGTTGTCTCTACTAATAATGATATAATAACAGTCTATTCTCTCCAATGAAGACTACATAAAAAGCGACACGTAAATAATTTCGCCAAACGGGACGATGAGCATTCTAACAAAAAATAAAGTATCCATTTTCTTCGTTTATCTATAAAAGGAAAATATGATTTCCCATTGTCGGCGTTATCATCAGTCTTTACTGCGAACCCCGAAAAAATGCCCGCAACAGAATTTAATATAGCAGGAGCGTCTAACACAAGCCTTACTTATAAGAAAGTTGTATCTACGCTTATTTACCAGGAAGTTTATGTATTTTATATGTCTACACACACAGGCCTGCCGGCGAAGAAGACTTATGGGCCCGTGTGTGTCAGAAAGGTGTTTAGATGTTATTTGACTTTAGTTGTGTGCGTATTTTGGGGTGTGTGAGTGGTAAGGTTTGCAGCCGCATTAGGATGAAGAGCACGCGCGCGCCTCGCCCGGGACGTGACCGGCATATCGCATCGTCCCTTTCCCCCCATTTTCTGTCTCCGTCACACCACCCCCAAAGCCTGCAGCCATGTTGGAAATGAGAATTTCCCAGTTTTCGGATCTTTTCAAAGCGCCTTTTAATTTCGTAATGTTATTTAATTTAGTTTGGTTGTAAAATATTTTTTTGGATGTTTCAGTGTAAGCTTTTGTAGCAGATTTATTTTCTGGTTGTATGTGTTTTATAGTCCAGAAAATTAATCCAAGTCCAAAGCCCGTGCTTGCATTTTAAATGAGATCTCATTTTGTAGTTGTAATGAAATTCCTATGTTCTGAAACATCTCTGCTAGTTAGCATTGTAATATCTTGATTAGCATTTTTCAGAGCTAAATTTCTACAACAATGTAACACTGAAGAGTTACAAACTATAAAGTAAATTATATCAGCCTTTAAAATAAAGGGTTATATTTTCTCAAGAAATTGAGAAACCCTTTAAGATCAAGTTGAAGTAAAAAATAGATACGTTCATGTAAAACAACCCACGTAGGAGGCATAACGCGACACGTGTAAAAGGACTTATCTGTGATCTGCTGCAGTTATCACCGGATGTCTTTCTAGCGCCGCCGAAATTTCAGATTAAATCGTCTGACTGTACCGTGCCGTGTGAATGTGTGCGCGTATTTCATAAAAGCGTTTGTATGACGTAGCTACCTACATTGTTATTATCTTCAACTGCATTAATGTAAAAATAGTTTTGTGTAGGTCTCAGACTTTATTGTCTCGAATATTCATTTAAGATTTGTTCTGCTGTATCTACAATTAATTCCTCTCCTTCCTAGTCTCAGCTATCGTAATTTTAATGAAGAGAGACGACTTAAAATTACTTCATCTAAATATTTATTATGTTCTTGTTTTTTTCTATCTACATTTATAAAAAGACTTTGAGAGTGATAAAATTACCATTTCGCCGCGAAAGTCGTTACATATCTTCAAAGGAACTAATTCTCATCTGAGATGACTTTTGGCAACTGAATAAGTTATCATCAGGTGAGACTTACCCTTTGGCATATTTATGAGATAAAATACAAGCTAACTCGCAATTTCTACTTAAGTACTTTGCAATACGAGCGAAAATAGCATAGTAATATTGACAGATATCAACTCTTTTTATGTAGGTTTGTACTTGATGATATGGGTCATGTTCTTAAGATATAAAGTAAGGAATCGAATGGTTTGCAGATTGTTACGTAAAAATATCTCGTCTCGTCTTGTAGCGACGTCAAAGAGGTATATAGAGGTTTACCAAGTTAGACTTTGTACTACCTATTTTTTATATTATCTTTTAATAGTCAAACGGCTTGTTGTGTAAGATGTGTTTCGTTAGAAGAATGAGATAAGCAGTAAAATTATAGTGTAGGGAGGTATGAGATTTTGCCTTTCAGTATTGCAATGCATGAGCTATATGTTGTGACGATCTCCTCAACAGTCAGTGATACTGTTCGTGTTTATAGGCGACGGTTATCACTTACAATCAGCTTGTTTGTCATTCCAATAACATAAAAAAAAGAATTTTAGGAAAGCTTATTTATATGTTTACAAGCTAAAATAATTATATACATATAGGAGAATAGTCTTGTATCAAACTGCATACTTACTTGTGATAATCCTAAATATATAGATACAGTTTCAGATATGTACAGAAACCTCCCGTCGGCAGCCACAGACAACGCGAATCCGTCGAGAGACTGTGAACAAACAATTTTATAATGAAAGAAAGCTGAATTGATAATATCGAAGCATCAACACTATCGTGGCGAGTGCGCAAGCGCCAATGCCTTGTATTGTCTATGAGTCAGCAGGTAGCGTTAGCAATGAAACAGAAATTAAATTAATTTTTATTATCAGATTGTTATGAAGTATTATATTTGTATCTATACCTACGTTAAAAATTACCTACTATTAATATATTGTGAAGAAGAACGAAAGAATCACAGCATTCATCAATGCTGTGTTTCTTTGTGTATTTGGTAATGTGAACATAAAAAAATATAGCACCGCTTTTTAAATTTCATTTACCTAAAGGTAAGTGATAGTGTAGTGTAATTATCATTATTTTTACTGTAAGGTAATATAAATAAAATCCTATGCGTAGCTACTCGAAGTATTTTGTAATAATAGTTTTATATGTTTCTTTTATGAGGACAGACAATATTTAAATACATTTGGAAATTACATGATGTTGTCATGTAATTTCCGTTTCATTACGTCAATATTTAGCTTTGCTATATGTAATACTCTATTATTTTATATTGTCAATAGAATTTATAGAATTATGTCAATACAAATAATAGACTACAATCTCGTAAGTCACCTGTTGTGAATTAAGTAACCTGTATACAGTTAAGATTCGCGTGTTTCGTTCAAATACGCTTTTATTATTTTTTATAACATTATTGATATTTTAATTTACATTATTAAAAATTAAACAAAATATCATAAAAATCATCAATAATATTTTGCATACTGTACATTATGTTAAATGTGAAACTTAGTCGGGAATCTATCATCAATTGTGTTCAGTAAAAAAGCTAAACAAATAGAATGATGAAGAAAAAACATCACGAGCCAAAATGAGTACGTTTACAATATAGTATCTGGAAGAGACGCCGATACGTAATCAGAATACTATCAAATATAAGCCTTCATATGAATATAATGTAAAACCTCCTAAACTATCTTCTATACTATATATAATTTAGGAAGAAACAAAACATTACAGTAGTTAAAAATTAGTATATTAGATAAGGTATAATAATCTCTAATACTAATTTTAAATACCTGGAAGTGTTTTGTTAGGATCCTTCTTAAATAATAACTGGGAAGAAGACAAATCATTAGTTAATTTAGTTTTAGCTCAAAAGTCGTTGAAACATGGAATTTTATATTATTTTTGTATGAAGGTATATACTTTACTGTACAATTTATATATAAGTGCAGTTCAGAAGCATTTTGAAAAATGTGAAGTATCTAATGTGAGAAATCATATAATTTTCGAAAGTTGAAATTAACAAAATACTAATGGAATATTATAATAATAATCATTATCATAAGCCTACCTCATCTAGCATAAATCTATATCCGGATTGTATCTATCTTTCATTTTAATGAGATGCACGGTTGACAAAATACATCTTGAGAGATAATAAAGTTTTTTGTATAAAATCTGCGTTTAAACGGCGGGCGATGATAGTGGAAAATAAAAACATAGATCATGTCGATAATAGACTGCAGATGGGATTTTTATGAAGTTTTATTTGTTAATCTACGTGCACCTAGTTTATATTGTTAACTATTGACCCAATAAACGGTTTACCTAGATGTTTGATGAAATAAATCAAGGTACCATTTCTTGTCTATGTAACTTTAAGTACAAAGAAACTATGACTAACTTAATTAATGGAAATTTAGTAAATGATTATTTAATAAAAATTATGGCTATTCATGTTTCAATTAAATATTATATTAGATTGCCTGTTTTTCAGTGGCCTTTTCACGATTAAAGGACTGCACAGATTTTTGTCAAATTTGACGTGAATATAATAGAACTTATCTTTTGTATCACTTGGATGGACATAGGCCATGTTGTATTTAAAAATAGAAGACCAAAAGATCAATTTGCAGGCGCCTATGATACCAGAATAAAATAGACAAGAAGTGGTGAAATATATACTTATTGCTTACCAACACTTAAAAAGTTACCTAATATTTACTATAAATTGTTTACCCAATCATTGGGCTATTATTAAAATATTTTGCAGGTAAATGAGCTAAGCTGCATTCCATCATGCATGTCCTTATTTTTTCAATCAAAACGTACAACTTGTCCCGCAAACTGTTGCGTTTCCAACAAAAAGAATCGATTCAAGGAATCACGTACACAAGTGTTTTCAGTGCGCGGAATAGAAACCACAGCACCCACAACATTATAATGACAGTGAATCGATTGCACAAAATGATAATTTACGTGATCGAATAGAATAATCGATTTTTTTTCGTCAACCCTATCCGAGTGGCCCAGAAAGTGTGTGTATTCGATTAATTCTGTTATGAAATTTGAGTGAAATCGGTGAAATATCAAATTGGAGTGTCGCAAATGATATTTGGTATGTAAGTAGTGTGTCGCAGTGCTCCATTGTATGTGCGTAGGTATTGTATAGAGCCCGCTAAAAAGCGTTAAGTCGGCCAAACTATTGCGTAATACAAAGTCAAGTTCGTGTGGACGGTCGCTTTGTGTGCACTTTTTAGTTCATTTTCGTTTGTCCGTGATTAAGGACAGATTATGTATGTCGTATATATATCAAAAGAACTGATATATATCAGGTATATTAATATACATATTATATAGATTGTTTTTATTTATATTTATAAATATTATTTTAAAAATTCATTTAACCACTACCTTTGTTTTCTAAGAGTTTTCACAAAGCGCCGTCTCAGACTTTGTTTTGATTTTATATCGGTCTTTATTTCACCGCTAATATATAAATATTTGACAGAATTGTATTCTTACCTGAAGTATGTGTGTGCCCTGATGCTGCTCAAACAGTTCCATGGCGAGACCGATCGCCGTTCGTCTGCTTTGAGCACCTGCAACAAAAACATGACTTTAAATTCAACTGTATAACTGAAACTCGCCCAAACATCCGACTACAGTGCTATCAAAAAGTACTCTGCGTGGCTTATCATTTTCTCTGCCAGTGATTAATTTGTGTGTGAAAATACTGTTCGTTGTTGAATTGTAATGTAAAGTTAAATGTCTTGTTTTCCAACTTATTATCAATGATAATTGCTATGTATTTTTTATTTTGTTCAAAATTAGAATGGTGAAATAAATGTAATTGAACAACCATTATAGATTACTTGTACATTCACGTCTGGTATCTCAGACGAGGTGATCAGGGACATTGTTAGATATAAACATCGTAGTAACCGCAACCTACGCATTGCTGCATATGTGGCAGGGGCCTAGCCTACTTATCTGTATTTTTTTAGAACTTCAGAATATTAAAGTATAAACAATCATTAACCGAAGAATTTATAAGATATGTTCACTTTTCATATCATTATCATCTGCTTCTTCGAATCCCATTCATTTAGGGTCGGCGGTGTTTTCTCTTCCATTCATACCTGTTCGCAGTCGTCTCACTCCCATTAGTTACCATATCATCTTTCATACAGTCCATCCGTCTCTTTTTCTCTGCCTTTATAACCATCCACGTTCATATGTTATAATACTATTATTAATAATAATATATATATATTATATTACTATAAAGTAATATAATACATATATTACTATAATACTATTTTAAACTAGTATCTTTATTCCTATGTTCATTTTATTTAATGAATTTATCGCTTTTTTTCGTTACTCGACTTAGCCGAGAGGATCCATGTTACAAGTCCACATTGCCTGTTTTTACACTTCTAGTGTGTAGGTTGAATACTACGTTGTCGTGATCAGATTATCTTTTCTTACACATAAGCAACAAAAAAGGTCGAGACCACAAGAAATGGGCCGCTCATAGATCATATTATAAAAAAAGTATTTCTGTCACCCAATTCAACATTTAAGCAGAAAATCAAGTAAAACAAGTACATGGGCAGTCATAAAGTAGTGTCGGATGCGCGCGGGCAACCCGACACCTGCAGATAAGATCGCGTATGAAGGATCGAACATGGCCGACACAGTAGCGCAGGTTTATTGGAAAACATCATGCAGTTAACGTGTTATACATATGTAAACGACTATTGTATTTAAACAAAGAGATATGTGAAATTCTGTAGTCGATACAGATAAGAAATTTATTAAAAGTAACCTACCTTCTAAAACTAAAAGGTAAAGCGATCAGTCGAATAATCAATTTAATAGTGAGCGATTAATAAGATATAGAAGTTTGTAAAAAGGATGAACCTAATTTTTGTAACTGATTAGTCAAAATAACTACTTTTTATATATCTATTAACCAATTTTTATTGTTGAAACTTACAAAATACAACATTCAAGAAACCTTTTAACACTATTTATAAGTCTTTAGGAAAGCTTGAGCTTATGAAACTTTAAAGTTAAGCTCCAAAATTTGAACACTCATCAGAGTACACTCATTTAAATGAACTATGCTTGTCTGATATCACAATAGCAGCAAACAACCATAAAAAAGATTCGAAATGGTTCACAAATACTCATAAATACGGATGTAAGCATAGACAATATAGTTATTAGTATAAATACGCAAATCCTTCTTTATATACCCATTTTATTTTAACAGCTACATTTTTACAATTAATAATTATATTGCGATGCAGTCTACGCTTTTCGTAGGGATAAGTATGTTGGCGTAGGTTTATGTAGAATGAAATGATGGGAATGCATTCTGGTTACCTATTCATGATGACTTCAAGAGGTCCTCTATCGTGGAAACCAAAGGTAGGTACTAATAAATTCCTTTACTTACAAATCCATTTTTTCTAAAATCCAACGTATGGTCACCACTATTATTGTCTTGACCATAGCATTAGCAATAAAAAAAATTGCATTATGATTCCAAATTCAAAACACAGTCGTGTTACGTCACAGTTTTCGTGAGAGATCGCCGACTTCCTCGCGAGTTATAAAATCGTAACTGGCTTGTCGTGCTTGTATGTTTGTATGTGGGTGCCGACGTCACGACCGGCCGTCACGACAGACAGACCAACCCGTGTCCTTGCCGAATTATGGAGTCACATACACACGTTTATATTCACTTTCGTTGGTTATTTAATGACATTTTCTCAATTACGATAGCACGAGTGAGCTCGTGACTTCGATTTGGAATTAAACAAAAGAAATTTGCAAGTCAGTTGTAACTTTTCAGCGATGATCTATCCTAACCTCGTTGGGTACAACAATATACATATTTAAGATTATATCTAACCAGAAATATATAGGTATCTTAAAAATCTAATATATTTTTTTTAATAGGAGCACTGGTTTCTACTTTGCTCTTCACATACACACAAAGAACGCACCCTCCTTTGTATTATTATAATAGACGATCTATTGTTTTACTGCATTAAATTAAAATAGAACTTAGCTATAATTTGACTTATATCTTAGACTAAGATTAGCGTTTTTAAGTTTATTAGCAACCAGACAAACGGAAAATTTTAATCCTTCTCTTTTTCTAGGTACTGAGTAAATGACCTCTAATTCTTCTGAATGCAAAATATTTCTTACTTTTATTTACCGTTACTCATTACTCATGATATAGCTTTGCCCATTTGATATATTTTTTGAATAAGTATTCTTTATTCTATGCACTTAAATCAAAAACTTTTTTATAACTGCATAAATAATAATAAATAACTGAGATATAATTACTATACTATAGGATAATAGGCATGAGATCTTTGTCATCTGGAATAGCAACCCATGAGTAGCATCACGGGTATACCTATATGTTCGTGTATATACAGATATCACTTACCATCAAAAAGGCTGTCCGGTCAGCTTAATTGCCGTTCTAATTAAGTAAAAAAAATACAAAATCATACCTAACACTAACATTTGCTAGAATAAAGTTTATAATTCTATAATGGCTACACAGAACATTGGAGAATGCACCGAGCCAATTGTACTACTAAATTTGAAAGGATTTATCAAGGATTACTGAGCAATACTAATGCTATTGCTCAATAATTCGTAATTATATAGGCCTATGAAATATAAGATATTATATATTTCTTGGATCTTATCGTAAGTAGCAATAGCAATAGCTAGTTTACGATAAAAATAAACTTACATATAAAAAAACCAGACGTGGCTAACAAGCCACGGCTTCGTCTGCGTTTTCAAGATACAATCTACCTTCATACCAAATTTCCTTAAGATCCGTTCAGCTACAGAAAACAGTATCAGTAAACCGTTTAGTTCACAAACAGACAGATACACTTTCCCATTAATAATATTAGTAGGTATAGACATATACATAACATAGAAACCAATCGGAATGTTATTTACGGGAATTGAAGAAGCGACCAATTGAAACGAGTACGAGCAAATTGTGAATTAATGAAAATAATATATATAAATTCGATAAATTGTCTCAAAATAGATAGTCATATGAGTAAAATAAGAACCAATAAGAGACAGACAAGTGATCTGGAAACTTATAGGGCAACATAGCTATACTGAGAAGTAAATAAAAAATAAAAAAAAGAGTCTGAAGATAATGATAATATCACTTGATAGTTTACACAATCTAAGTAAAGCTCGTGCTTAAGTACTAGGCAACCGATATAAATATATTTTATTTAAATTTTATATATTCTATAAAGTATTCTTTATATATTTTTGTTAATCCTTACAAATAAACTGTATATCCACAATAAGATGACACAAGACAATATAAACATACCTAGTATAGCGTTGTTGGCACAAAATAATATCTTTGTCATATCATAACGTCGTAAATTCGCTTTTCAAAACAGAGCAAAACGACAATTCTCTATGAGTACTGTACTGTAGGGTGTACTATAAATAGACAAAGCAACGGACTGTCTCAGGTCCAAGTTAATAAATAAAATACAGAGACAGCAGCTGGAGCACGTATTTTTATATTTCTAGAAAGTTACACAAGTACAAATATAGTTTCTAGAATCTATAACAAATTGCTTATATCAGTTAGATACCATATTAAAAGTGTGTTACTACATACGTAAGTTGTTATGTAGCATATATATAAATTACAAATGCATAAATTAAGATATTAATATAATATTTATATTTACTTTCTTTTTAGATTTTTATATAATAATTTAGATAATGTAAAAACATTTACTCGTGTTAAAATATTTTTTTAAAAGTATCTTTACTATTACACCACCTTCCACAAGTATTTTGGTACAATAAGAATGATGTTTGTTGGTAAGGTTCAATAATAATAATAAGATATTGAAATTCACTCATATATACATATTTTTCGACTAGCTATTCAATGCCCAAAAACTACATTACCTTCGATAGTATATTAGTTTTATACTCAGTAAAACGGACTCAATAAATAATTTTATTACTGTATTTCTATTATTACTTGTGATATTGCAGCCCTAGTATGAACTAGTTTTGGTGTTATTGTATTAATTTAAAATTAATCCCAACCTAAGTGTGGCTACCCTACGCGCATGCAAGTCGGCATATCAAAGCTAAAATTCTCTCTGGTTGTTGAATTAAATCGTTATAAAGAACACGCTCGGAACTATCTCGACATCTCGCTGTTTAAATATGGTACGTAGCCTAAATCGCGACTTGTGACCCTGTGAACGTAATGCTATTTACATTAGCTGGCAGAGTCCAATGCAGAATATTTAGCTTATTTGGTATGAAGTGACATTTTTTTCTTTTCATATTACCAATGTTAAAAAGGTTTTCTTTATGGATATATAAAGAATGTCGCTAAAAGTATGTGTTGGCAGGGCACCAGTGGTGGAAGATAAAATGAGCTTGAAGTCAGGTTAGTTAGCGAATTCAATAGGAATTACCCACGATGGTTTCTAGAAGGAACCGTGGGAAAGTCAGTTTGACATGATGCATTTTTGGTTGGTTTTGC